GTAATTATTTTTTAATAATAATAATAATAATAATTATTATTATTATTATTATTATGGTTGTTTTTGATTATTATTATTCTATTATTATTATGATGTTAAATATTATTGGTGATGGTGATTTTTTTTAAATAATAATAATAATAATAATAGTCAATAATAATTATTATAATGATTGTTATTGATCATCATCATCATTAATAATAATCAGGGTGTCTACAGATATGAACAAGTTAAATTTAAGACTTTTTAATACCACCTTATGTGAAATTTAAGACCTAGCTGATTGGCCAGCTATCCAGTGCATTGTGATTGGCTGAATACTTCAAGCGTGTGACGGAAATGTTACGCCCCTTAACATACTGTGATGTCCTGTGTCCCGGCGCGACAAGACAAAAACAATAAAACCCATTACAAACGAGGCGAAACAGACACCGGCATTGTAGGCTACTCTCACAGGAAAGAGTCCTCTTCCTCCGCAAAATGCGCTGCACACATCTGAATATTTGGGCTGAACTGTTTTGGAACTGTAAATACAACTTAACCCCCGATTTCTAGTTGTGTCCTCTTTTGGAAGGCCAAACAAAGTAGTTTTGCTTTCACAACGAAACACACAGCATCACACACGGCGGGCTAGAGTGAGGAACGGCCGGCGGGCTTGAGAACGGCGTGGCCGGCGGATTCGACTAAGGAGCGGCCGGCGGGCTTGTGGTAACCACATGTGACGACCCCGGACTGGACTCCACTTCGTCCACAGTGAAAGCCGATCTGGCGATCCACAGCGCGAAGTTGATGTATTTTCTCAGCGACCAGCACGGATCAGCTCTAGGCATGACGAAGCGGATATCGTCCTCTTTTGGAAGGCCAAACAAAGTAGTTTCACTTTCACAACAAAACACAGTGTCTCCACGACATGGCGGCGGCAGCAACAATACTACAGCGAGAATAAAAGTTACGCCTTCTTTCTTTGTGTGAACATTTGGGCGGTGTTATGCAAATCTTCCCACATCGTGACGTAGACATGTGGGGGCGTGTTAGAACGAGCCGTTTTAGGAGGGCGTGGTTGACTCTTAACTTTTATAAAGAGTATCTCTTTGGATTTGAGACTTTAGTCTTTGCAACTTTACAGATCTTCTTTATGCACCAAGAGCTTGTAACACTCCAAAGAGAAAGGAAAAATTTTAATCGCATCATATGACCCCTTTAAATAAAATTTCTTAATACATAAATAAGAAATGTTGAGGAAAAATGCCTACTTTTAAACATGAGACTAAACCGCCTATAGGTGGCGTTGAGTCATTATTCATTCCGATTCCTTCAAAACACTGAGTCAGCTTGGAGAATGTGCAATACTTCTGTTCGGATCTTTGTTTGGAACTATTTTCATTTGTGAAATAGAACAAAACAGTCAATATTGTGTCTAAAATGTAAGTAACTTAATATACTTCTCTACTTGTTTGTTGAACTAAAAACAATGTAAATATTCAGCAAAATAGCTCACTTGTTATGGTATGTTAAATACATCATGTTATCAATAAACAAAACATTTTGAATTTTCACCTCAGTATGTTTGTTCTGTGAGTTTCTTTATGTGTGCCGTTACGCTCATTTGATTTGATTTCTCCATGAAAGTCTCTTTCACACAGACAGGCAGCACGAGCCTCAACAGCGAGTCATTGATAACAGAAATACACTATCCATCATCAATCGCTGTTTCAGCTCAATGTTATAAAATCAGAAGAATCATTCTCACGTTTTGATGCTTCACTAGTTTTTTTGTCACTTAAGTTTTAATCAGGCTATTTGTCCAGTTGGGGAGAAGCAAAATTCTCGAGCCATTTTCAGTAACTTGCATTAAACTACCTAGGAGGCTGCTTAGCTAGCTGGTGTTCAGGGTTGCCAGGTTTTCACAAGAAAACCCGTCCAATCGCTACCCAAAACTAGCCTAGTTAAAAATCGTGTTCCGGGGGGTAAAATACACGTTTTTGGCGGGGTTCCCCTGCTAAAATTCGCATTCCAGGGGATAAATATAATTTTATTGGAGTCGCTTCAACCTGCGGACATGATAAACAACCTGCGGCAACAGTGTTAAAGTAGCCCAATTCCGTGGGAAAACCGCGGACTTGGCAACACTGCTGGTGTTCGACTGGATTCTACTACCGCAATTTTCTCTGATGACGCAGTAACTACAGCGGGAAAAAAAATCTTCAGTCTGTCCAATGACACAGTGTCTACACCGGATGCGACAGTTGTCGGGTCGCGCCGCAACAGCTAAAGTCTGTCTACACTGGACACGACAAAGTGACCGTTGAAAATCATTAGAATTTTGTGTCAGTACGTCATAAATAGAACGCAGCAGCAGTTTACTGTCGGGAATTTGTCGCGCCGACAATAGGTTCTTTTGTATTTTGTCGCGTCGCATCACGCAGCGCCGCTCGCGTCTGATGTGTGATTGTAAACAGTCACCGGGTCCGTCAAACTGAAGAAATTTTTTGCGGTAATGTGACCAAAAAAAATGTAAGACCCATCGAATCTGAATTTAAGACATTTTACGACTTTTTAAGGACCCGCGGCCACCCTGATAATATTACAATATTACCATTCATTAACTAGACTGTGGCGGCCCGCCACAAATATTATTATTTCATAATAAACCGAAGATATATTTATACTTCTCATATAACATAAAAGTTTTTTAACATTGTGTTTCACGCCATTGCTTTGGCAAGTATCCGCCAAACGAATTAAAACCGAAAGCGTATAGCATAATATGACTTATCAAGTCTGTTTGCGCTGCTTGTTTCAAAGTGAAGCGCACACATTGCGCTCGTGATCCGGTGTTTTCTAGTGATGTCCGGTTCACGAACGAATCGTTCGATTTAACCGGTTCTTCTTAGTGAACTGGTTGAACCAGTTCACCAAATCAGACTGAATCGTTTGAAACGGTTCGCGTCTCCAGTAAGCATTAATCCACAAATTACTTAAGTTATTCACTTTTTTAATGTGGCTGACACTCCCTCTGAGTCGAAATAAACCAATATCCAGGAGTAATTCATTTACTCAAACAGTACACTGACTGAACTGCTGTGAAGAATGAACTGATGAACACGAGCAGAGCAGCATGTGTGCAGCGAGCCGGGTAATGAATGTACACGCCCACTGCTGGAGTGGTTCTCGTTCTCGAGTCAAGAACCGGTTGCATCGGTTTTCGGATCACCAGTACACTGAACCGAGAACCGTTTCTTTCGGACACGTCCGATTTGAGAACCGATGAGCTGATGATACTGCGCATGCGTGTAATTTTTCAAGAGGACGAAAAGCATGCTATCCAAGTATTTTGTTAAAAATCAGATAGTGTGATATAAATATATTTTATTTTACTTTTTTAAAAAAGATGAATGTATCTAATCTGTGTACTTTGTTCAGTTGAAGATTATGTTAGGTTATAGGCCAAAGGGGTTTGTCTGGGAAGTTGGATAATAATTAAGACTCTATGTTTAATAGGAATAAGGGATGATTTATGAAATACCTGCACTGTAATTGTAGTTAACGATGACACATTCACAAATTGAGTTTGTAGTAAATAGAACTGATGAGCACGAGTAGAGCAGCTGATGATATACTGAACGTGCGTGCAGCGTGCCGGTTAGTGCGGTTCTCGTTCTCGAGTCAAGAACCGGTTGCATCGGTTTTCGGATCACCAGTACACTGAACCGAGAACCGTTTCTTTCGGACACGTCCGATTTGAGAACCGATGAGCTGATGATACTGCGCATGCGCGATTCAGTGTGAAGCTACCGAACAGATTGCCTACTATGACTGACACAGCACGTCTGAACAGAACTGGTTCTTTTAGACAACTGATTCTGTGCTAATGTTATGAGCGCGGGTAAACCGAAAACTTGAATGAAGGGCAATCTGGCGAAACGTAAGTTTATTTAATAACAAATAAATAGCAATGGATTATGTATAGTAAGTGGATTATAGTTTCTGCGCTGATGACAACTAATTTATTTACTTTATATCTTCAAGACTTAAATCCTCGTATGCATATCACTGCGATATGTGCCTGTCGCCGATATATCGGTATAGGCGAATATGCCGCAGATACGCCGCCGATATGAAAATTATTTTTACAGAGCATATAACGCAGATAAAATGCTTGAAATGGTGTAATTACTTAGTTTGTCCAGCAGAGCGCGCTCCTAGATGCCCGCTTTTGAATGAGACCACCCCCATGTCGATAGCCCCCGGGGTTCGGGAGTTACACGCGGTCTGGCGCCGACCGATCTAGCGATCCCGGGGGGCTACCAACGCGCAGAGGGTGGCGTTCGATAGGGCTCCTTGAGCTGAAGGGATCCCCCAAATTTGGTGGAGATCTGCCGGCGCGTTCGCGAGATAGTGACACCAGCCAACACTTTCACTTCAGTAA